GGCGCTTGTTCGCAGTGATGTTCAGTCCGGTCAATGAATCGACGTGATGGGGTCTGCTCATGCAGCACGCCATTTTGCCGCCGCGGTTTGGGGTCCGAAACGTGTTAACATAAGAAAGAGTCATCTATTGAATTGCGTAGTTGTAAAGCTTGTTAAGCTCTCATTAAGAGAAGTCGAGAAACCAGTGTTGTTTTTTAGGTCAGAGAAAAGGGCTCTAAAGCATTAGCAGATCTCTACACCCTGGAGAACGAGCGGTGGCCACCTCCAAAAATGGATGCTGAGACCCTTTTTGAGCTATCGTACGGAGAGCAAGTTCGCCAAGCTTATAAGGTAATTTGATGCTTTCTTGTCTGTCATTCGTCATCTGTTTTTCTCGTATACCCGTGTGAAGGAAAAAAATCTACTCATGTGTTATTATTTATTGACTTCAGGAAGGAAAGTATGGCACGCCTGAGAAGAAGAAAAAAGTTGAAAATTCTTGAAAACTGTATATTTAGTAGAGGTAGCGCATCATAGGTAGACTTATTGTTATTATGTTATTCGATTGCTGCAGGGAATAAACCATTCACGAATGCATGTCGACTTTGTTGGATTATTGGTATTTGCTGCCAAATTTTACTAATGAGTTCATTTTGGTTGCTTTGATACAGTCCTTGCAATATTTTGTTCAGCATGTCGCCACCGAAAACTGCTTTGCTCATTCTGGCCGATGGAGCAGAAGAGATGGAAGCAGTCATCAGTACTGATGTTCTGAGGCGTGGAGGAGTTGAAGTACGGTTTTGCCATCTGTTTCTCTTTATTTTGATTATTCTTTGTATGTTGTAGGTGACTATTGCTGGTCTGAATGGAGCTGGAACGGTAACGTGCGCTAGAAAGACAAAGATTACTCCGGATGCTGCACTGAAGGACGTACAGTCGAAAACGTTTGACGTTGTAGTTCTACCTGGAGGTCAGCCGGGCAGTAACTCATTGGCTGCGGTACGTACCATCCATGTATTAGATAAAGAGGACCCCGGAGTGTAATCAATATTGCGATGACAGATAAACAGTGGAAGTACTGCCGGATCCCACTGCTAAGGCAGACCGGTGATATCGCAATTTAAGCATCCATGGCAAGAGCGCAGCCGCATTTTGTTATGTGGGTGGAGGCCACAAGTGAAAAATGAGAGTTAGATTTCAGAGCATACCTATATACAGGAATAAAGCATATGATGCGTTTTTGGGAATAATTTGTGTTTGAAACTGTTTTCGCCATGCGATCTTAAAGGCAGTGTTCGGGCACAAAGTCGGTTTGAGATTCGTGCTTATACGGGCTAATTCGCTATGCTGAATCCAAAAATCCACAAGAGCGCCAAAACGGCGAAAAAGGGTTCTAACGCAGAAGGGAAATCAGAATAGAGCGGGACCTTCCTCACTGTGAATTCACGGTTCCAGCTTTCGAACCCCTCTTCTCAATTCCGCTAGTCGCCCTAACATCTCCACCGGCCAAATGCAAATACGTGAGTTGAAATCGGAATCGAAGAGGTCGTTTTGGAAGCTGGGACCGTGAAATTACAGCGGGGAACACTCCGCCCTGCTAATTTCCCTCCTGTATTGGAGCCCTTTTTCGCCTTTTTTGCGCTCTTCAGTGTGGATTTTCGGATTCAGCATAGCGAAT